CTGCAGCACCCCGACCAGGTGGTCACCCCTCGGAGTCCCTGGTCTCAGGCAGTGGTGGCAGGGCCTGCTGGTCCCCGTGTGGATGTTGCTCCTCTGCATCCCGGACAGAGCAGGTGATTTCATTCTCCCCATTTCCGTTCATGATTATGGTTATTTTTTAATGATTTAATATTTCTAGCAATTCATTTCTAAACCTTTCTTTAAAGGGGTATTGCAGTTCATTGTAATTTATTGTAAACAAATTTCTTTCTTTCAGATTTTATTTATTTATTTTTAGAGAGAGGGGAAGAGAGAGAGAAAGAGAGGGCAAAAAACATCAATCAGTTGCCTGTCACATGCCTCCAGCTGAGGTCTAGGCTCACAATCCAGGCCTGTGCCCTACATGTGCCCCGACTGGGAATCGAACCGGCAGTCTTTTGGGCCTGGTACTCATTCCAGTGAACCACACCGGCCAGGATACAAAAAAGATTTCTTTCAACAAGTCAATCCTGATGTGGAGACCATGATACATGTTTTTCTTAGTTTTTGGCACTATTTACTGTTTAGAACAATGGAGAATAACTTTTAAATGAAAAAGTGGATAGTGCTTCATTGGGAAAATAGTCTAACAGATTTTATTTTCACACCAAAAATCTACATATTTTCAGGTAAGGTTATATTTAAGAAGTTAATTTCCAAAAAGATAACAAGGTTAAAACGTCATGATGAAAATTAGCTGTGTTTTCTTGAGAAATGAAATGTAAAAGACTTTTCAGCAAATTCCGCTTTACCAGGTTTCAAAAGGCAAGAGCCTGCCGTAGCCTCCAGTGTTGCCTCCTCGCCAGGAGACTCTAGAGGGCTTGCTCCTTTCCGACAGCCTGCCTGTCTCACCTGATCCCACTCACAGCGGACTCCAGCATGAGCTGCACGTGTGGGTTGGAGCAGCTAACCGCCTGCCACATCAGTGGAGCTGTGGGCTTCAGGGGTCGCTCTGTGTGCTCCAGTCAGTTTGTATAGAGCTACTACAATAAGGGAACTGCGTTACTTGAGGCATGTTTGTCCACTTTCTGGATCAGAAATGTGGCACATCAGTCAGTTACTTTACAACTGGAGTAGGTAACCCGTAGCAGTTTTCCTTGCAAAGCTCCTTATCTGTGGGCAAATGTGTGACCCACCCTTTGGGGCATGTTGAGAACTCTGTGAGAACCGACAGTTTGGAAAATGTGTCATCGCTGTCATATTCTTTAAAAGGAGCAGCTCTTGGTGACCATGATTCCTCTGGCTGTCCCTTTCCTATGTCCTTGACCCAACTCTTTCAGCTGCTCTGTTCTTCCTGGGGTGGTAAGAGAACACTAGGCTTTTTCTGCTTAAAAATAAATCACAAAACCAATTTGCATTCAGTGTGTATTATTTAGAAAATACAGAGAGGTACAAATACTTTTAAAATCATCCTTAATCCCCAGTGGTAAATGTAAATTTCTTTATGTATATCTTTGCAGACTTTTTTTATTGTGTGCACGAGGACATATATCTTCACAGAAATTGAATTTTATTATATATGTTGTATTGTAACTTTTTTCTTAACAATAAAATGAACGTTTTTATATAGCACCAAAAGTTTTTTATCCAACATGCTTTTTCATGGCTGCATAGACTTCTATGTATTGAACCTACTGGCAGAGAGTTATTATGAACAATGAGGGATGACCATTATCGTACCAAATCTTTGCTCTTTCTTAACTCTCTCCTTAGGATAGGGTTGCACAGTGGAACTGCAAGGTCCAAGGGCACTGCCGATGCTGTTCTCAGATTTCACTCCAGTTAAGCTGATCTGCCTGCCTTCGGTAGTGGACAGGAGTGACCCCAATGCACACGCAGGCCTGTCCACACCATGGATGCTCTGACTCTGAGAAACAGGGGAGGGAGGGCACCTGGATGCACCTCAGACCACTGAGTCTGTGGTCACACCTAGGCCCTCTAGGGCAAAGAAAAGAGTCCCCAGGTAGAGAGCCTAACACGGGTGAGGGTGGGCCTTGTGGTCCTGGAAATCCTTCTTAGTGCTTATTTGGGTCAGGCTCCATTTCTGAGGCTCGGTTTTCTCATCTGCGGAATGGCGATGGGATCTCTTGGTGACGGAGATACGTGGATGTGGTGCCTTCGCGGGTGTACAGAGTGGAGCCCAGCCTGGAGGGGCGCCCGCGGCGCACAGAGGGGACGGAAGATCAGACAGCCTGGCTGGCATCCTGGGAGCGCCCTTTCGAATCCAACGACGCCTCTCTCTGCGCATCGGCGCCAAGAGTGGTTCGGCGCCCGCAGGGGGCGCCGCGAGTCCACCGCAGGAACTGCGGGGCAGCTAGGCGGAGACCATGCTGCTCCGGACAAGCCGGGTCCTCATCTCCTGGGATTTCTTTTCCCGAGCGACAAAAACACTGAATGAGTCGGAGCTTAGAGGCTTTGGCTTTTTACCTTCCGGGGTCCGTGTAGAGGCCGCCACGCAGCCTGTGGGCTTTGTGTCTGCCTTCCAGGGTTTTCAAACCTCGGCACAAAGGCTACGGCCTCTGGGAAGCCTCCCTGGACTCTCCGCGGACTCAGGGCCATGGCACCCCGGCGGCGCCTGGTTCCGCGGGTGTGCGGCCCACTTCCCAGTTAGGCTGTCTCTGAGGATGCTTTCCTCCCTCCCTGAACTTGGGCCCTTTATCACAGCACCTGAGCGCCACTCTGCCTTTCGCCCACCTCTTCTGCCTGCACGAGTCGGTAGGAAGAGGCCACGCTCCAACCCTAACCCTTCAGCCGCTTTGCTGTAAGAGTGCGGGTCCCAGTTTGGTGGTGGTGGTTGGGGTGGGGGAGGGGGGAGGGTCTGCATTACTATGGCAGGTTGTGCGGCATGTGTATTTGTGAGAAAGCATCTTGTAAATGAACAGTATGCCTATATGGAAGAAGTGTTCCAGGCAAATTGGAAAGGATTTCAATCCGTGTTACTTGACGATGTAGGTAAAATTAGCCAAGAAATCTGAGGGCTGGGGATTAGTAGTACTACGTTTACAACCATAAGCAGATCTCTTCCTCAACTGGGCTTCGTTGTCTCCACTTTGTTAGAAGGTAACTATTTAAACGGAAACATTAGAACTCATAAAAATATAAAATGAACACGTGTCATATTTTATTTAATGTATTAGCGAACCAGTGAAGTGTTAAAAATCTGTTCAAGGGGCGGGGCAAAGACCAGACACACGTGTTGGCAATCAGGAATAATGCAGCGAATTTGTTAATTGATTAAAATTGGCCTCTTCCACAGTGGGGGAAATCAGCGACAACTCCCCCATCTTCACACCCCCACCGCCGCTGGACCGCCACACACACAATTCATTTGCACTGCTATGGACAGGAATTACTTGTACTAGTTTCAGTTTTCTACTACTTACTGACTCAAGGACAGCGAAAGGTGGAAACTACTATAGAATCAGAGAACCTGGAAGTATGCACTAGCCCAGCATCCCATAAGGTGCTTTTCCTTCATGTTTCCAAAGTCTTTCACAAATTTTCCTGGCAGTTTGTACACTAAGGCTGGTTTGCATACGTTTTTTCAAAGATTCTAGGGGCAGAACTCTTTTTCTAAGCGAAATGTTACAGGAAATCCTAATATATTTTTTAAAATCTCAGTTAAAATAACATTATACAGTTAACACATGCTCATTGTAAAAATAACAAATAGTACAGAAGGTTATTAAGTAAAAAATTTGTCTCCCTTCTCTTTCCCTCCTTCCCTCTCTTTCCATTCCAGAGCTATGTCCTGTAACTGTTTCTTGTATACGTCATGGATACCCTCTATGCACATACAAACATGCTTTTAAAAACACAACTGGGGTGAAAACAACTTGCTCTTCTATACCTTACTTTTCTCCCAGTTAAAAAATGTACTGTGGACACATTTCCATGTCAGAACATAGAGGTTCACGTCATCATGTTAAATGGCTAATATTCCACAGAATTGGATATTTGATTAGTTTTCTATTAATGAATAGTTTTTAGTTGTTTCTAATTTTACTGTATTATAAACAAATGCTGCAATGAGCTTTCTTAATCACTTTTTGTTTTGTCATTTGTGGATATCTATATCTACATATATTGTAAAGTTTTACAAGTGGAATCACTAGGTTTAGGGTTAGCTGCATGGAATACTTTCACATATATTGCCAAGTTACCTGACCCAGAAGTTGTAATGATTTATTTATTTTTTTCTGCCAAATGGCATATCTTTATATTCCCACCAACACTGGATATTATCAAACTTTTAAATCTTTGCCAATCTGATAGAGGAAAATGATACCTCATAATTTCAGTGTACTTTTCTACAATTATCTCCAGCAGTTAAAATCTTCCCTTTGGTGGAAAATTGCTCCATTATTTGTGTGACTTCCCTCTGCAAAATAACTCACATGCATAACTTGAAGACCCTGAACTGGATTAATTCTCTGGGGTCTCCTGTTCCAGGAGGCAGGTTCTGTGCGGGTGGGTGTTGGGCTCTGCTCTGTGTCAGCGTGGGGACTGGGTCACCTCTGAGTGCCAGTGCGCATGTCAGTGGGTAGTCCCATCTCCCAGGCTGTGGGGACAGAGAACTGCTCACAACAGCACAGGTTCCCAGGGCTGTCCTGTAGGGCACAGAGAGGTCTCCCAGTCGAGAACAGAAGAGCAGCTGGACCTTTGCCACTTAGAACTGTGAATGGGAAAGGCGTGGAGGACAGAGGCAACTGCATGCTGTCTCTCTCACCATACTCTGCTGCTTCCAGCGAGCTGCGTCCTGCTCTCCACAGACCCATGAAACTTCCCACGGGCCCAAGAGCATTCACCCCAGTCCGACTCCACATGCGTTTCTGCTGAAGAGGTGATCTCTGTCTAGAACAGTGGCTGTTTCTTAAGAAACCAACCCCTCAGTGTGACTGGGGGAGAGAAAATAGCCACCAGCAGGTTCTCTTGCGGGTGCTGAGATAATGATTATGTCTCTGCTTCATCCCGTGCTCCAGGATTTGGGAAGTGCTGAAGCTCCATTCAGTCCACTGCGGTGCCCACAGCACATCGGGAAGGAGGAGCAGGAACTCAGGAGGGGGGCAGACCTGGCTCCAGTCTCGGCTCGTACTAGCTCCGTGACCAAGGACAAGCCTCCCGATTTCTCTGAGCCTTACGCCCTCAACTGTGGATCCAGGTTAATTATGCCTCCTCCATGAAGTCATGGTGAGAATGAAATCAAGTAATATATGTAAGTGCTTCTGTCAACACTCCCCTATGAGTAACATTTTGATAATCACCCCTTTCAAAATGAGGGTCTCAAAAATATATTCCCAAATATCCAAAGAGGAGAGGGTCCTTCTTCCCTTGGTGCTCACATTTAACAGTAGCCATGAGCCCGTGTCATCCTGCAAGAATGGCAAGATCTGGCACTGCCAGCCCTCCTGTGCCTCCTGCTGCTGCGCACTTTTAATTTCAGCCGCAGCCTGCTGCGTCATGCCTCCGCCCTGGCTCAGGCAGCTCCGTCAGGTCAGCCCGGAGCGCTCCCCTCCACCCCACTCCCCCTGGCCAGTGTCTGCTGATGCCTCAAGATGCATCAGGGCGAAAGACAGATTCTTTCATCTGGCACATCTGGCTGTCCATCTGGAATAGAGTCAAAGCGGACTTCTGTCTTACCATATACAAAAATAAAATTCCAGGTAGATTAAAGGCTTTCAGTGTAAAAAAATAAAATATTAAAAATATTATAAGACAAATCACAGTGCAACTGTAGCAATTACCCACTAGAATGGCTAAAATGAAAAAGTCGGATGAAACCAAGGGTTGGGCAAATGTAGAACCAAGACATCTCTTACATTACTAGCAAGGGTGGAATTGGTACATCCACTGTGGAAAACTGGCAGTATCTACAAAAAATGAACATACATATACTATGACCCCAAATTTATATTCAGGTAAATATCCAACAGAAATGCAGCCATAAATTCACCAAAAATAAGTACAAGAATATTTATAGCAGCACAGTTTGTAATAGCCCCAAGGTGGAAGCAACCCAAATGTCCATCAACAGTAGAACAGATAAAGAAAGTGTGGTAATTTGTATGAAGGAATACCATACAACAATAACGAGTGAACTATAGTACACTCGTTACTAATGAGTGAATCTCGTAAACGTAATGTTGAGTTAAAGAAGCTACATACAAAAGAGTACATATGATCGTTTTTTTAAAATTTTTACCTGAGGAGGATATGTTTATTGATTTTAGAGAGAGGGTAAGGAGGAGAGAGAGAAACATCGATGTGAAAGAAACATTGGCTCCTCCTACATGCCCTGATCCAGGATCAAACCCGCAATCTAGGTATGTGCCCTGAGTAGAATCAAACCTGCAGCCTTTTGGTGTAGGGATGATACACCAGCCAACCGAGCGACCCATCCAAGGCTAGGGATTCGTTTAAATGAAATTCAAACACTAACCTATGATGTTAGAAGTCAGGGTAGAGGTTAATCTTTAGAAGGGACAGCGATGGCAGGAGACATGAGAGAGCTTCTACGGTGCTGGGGATGTTTTGTTTCTTGATCTAGATCCCAGTTACTTGAGTGTGTTCTTGTGAAAACTCATGGTTTTATAAAAATATGTACACTATTTCATATAATAATTTTCAATAAAAATTTTGGCAAGGAGGCCTCATATACATAAGAGGTTAGAAGACCTACTCAACCAAGTTTGGAAACCTAGGAGATATTTTTGCGTATATATATATATAAACAGTTCTATGGCAAAAGATACTGGAAGCAATGTCAAATGACAAGCATTAGATTTGGAAAATAATATTTGTTGTGCAGCTGATAGACAAAGGTTGATAGTTATAATATGCAAAGAGCTCTTATCAATTGCTAAGACAAAAAACCCAATGGAGAAATAGACAAAATAATATGAATAGGCAGTTCAGAGAAGAAAAATATCCAATTGTATGGCAAGATGCTCAAACTCATTAGAATTAAGGGAAATGCAAATTAAAATAATAAGATACTGGCACAGACCCTTCAGGCTGGCAATGTTAAAAAGAACGCCTACACTTACTACATATGGGGGAAAAGTATGCTCTGAGTTGTTGCTGGTGGGGGTATAAATTATTATGATCTTTTTGGAAATCAATCTGGAAAAATCCGTTAAAATTAAAAACACATATGGTTTTTGACCTAGCAATTGTACTCCTGGGAAAATATTCCCGGGAAATAAAAGCATCCCACATAAAGCCCCTGTACCAGGGTGTTTACTGCAGCATTGATCGTGGAGGTGCAAGCAAGCATGGTACCTTGTGTGTGTCCAGACATGCACACACATGTGCACACACCCTGGAAACAAAACAAATGTCTCTCAGCCGAGAAATGGTATAGGTGACGGAGCGCTCCCTGAGGCTCACAGTCCAGAGGCCCTGTGGGAAGCCGTGGTGCTTTCCGCCTCAAGCATGGGGCAGGGTGGACAAAGCGGATGACTGGAAGCTCTCTGCCTCCTGCCCTTGGCCAGCAGCAGTGATCACAGAGCAGGATCTGGAGGACAGCCCTAGCGCCTAGGACGGAGGTAATGCCTCTCAGCGAGGTTCGGATCCTGTCCCTCCAGGATCAAAGAAAGGACACCAGCAGAGGAGGATCATGGAGGTGGCTCTCACAGACACCCATTGTTGGTCACACAGACGGTGGCTTACTTAAGCCAAAGCCAGGCAAAAAAAATTCTCTGCTAATTGAGGGATAAATGAGACATGGGATCAGCTACAAATTAAAAACATCATGTCTGTTATTTTTAAAAACCATGTCTCCCTTCTGATGTTTGTATTCAAACCACGTCCCTGTCCACTCGACACTCTTTCTCTTGGTGAATTAAAATGTGGAGTGAACTCACTCACGTTGGGCCAACTGTAGGCAGCCCTGGCCAAGCTCAGGGAGGCAGCTCTAAGCAGGGCCTACATGAAATGGAGCCCCACATGGCGAATGCGTCAATGTTTAAAGTCATAAATGCAGTCAATCAACTCTTAGGTACAAGTATTCTTATCTTCCGACCTTAAAAATATACTTTCATAATATCAAATGTTTTGGGAAATTGTATATGGTTTTTATATGAATGGAAATGGAAAATTCTGTAAAGATAACAGAATTGAATTATTTTTGCACACATTTGGATATTCTGTTGATTGGCTGGGGATGTTTAGACAAGTAATAAAATCAAGATACACAAAAATAATAAACTATTACATGTTTTTCATTAACTTTTTTCTTGACTTTCCTACTGCAAACTTATTTAATAATGTTTTACAATCAGCATTTTGCACTTTATGTTCTGTTGATGACGATTTAGACTTTTTTGAGTCAATGTAATTCTTAGATAATTTTTAAAATTAATTTTAACTTGGGGAAAGTTTCAGTAATAAGTGGATTGTCATCAAAGTCTTAAAAAGAATATTTAAACTTGGAATTGAAGCATGAATTGTACATATCCTGTTCAAATATTTTAACGGAGTTGTATGAGATGAATTAACTGCAGAAAATACTACAAAATATTTCAGTTTTACAATATAAATATTTACCTCTTACCCTGCAAATTTCATCATCTCTTAAAGTAATATCTAGATTCGTGCAGTGATGGGAAGAATTAGCATCGTGTATGTTTTTCTATACTTACGTATGTGGAGATTTAGAGGTAAAATAAAGTGTTAATATTGCACAATGTTTCTTAGCCATCATGTGCAATTCACACTGCTTCATGAGTTCCCCCGGACCACAAACTGGGACACAAAGGGAGGTGTTAGACTGGACGTGTGGCCCTACTGCGAGGTGATACCTCATTCTGCAAGAAACTGCATTCGTGCTACCCGAGAGAAAGGCTTTGACAAGTTAACTTCATTTGCCTTTTTTCTTACCTAAGTGCTTCTACCCCTCAGCTCTTCCTCTTATCTGAAGCAGTGTCTGTCTCCGATCCTGGCAGAAATGCAACCCAAAAGCCTTTGTGATATTCAGGCACAGTTGCTTTTTGTGTTGAGGACCTTGGGCAGAAGCTGCAGAGTGGTGTCCTTGGGGCCTAATGGTGCTGTTACCTGCAGGCTGCACGCTGCTGGCTGAGCACCAGGTCACATGTGCTTGTAATTGTTTATTTTCTGTGTATTTGTGACATGGAAACTTCTAAAGGAGGGCTTCAGAAACTTTCTGTGGTGTAGGATTGGTTTGCAATTTCCCAATTCTGAAACAAACCAATTCCTTTCGTAAAAATCCAATAAAAATAAATCACTAGAAAAATGAAATTTAACAATCTACATAAAATATAAGGCTAGATTTTTAAAGATTCAACACCTTTAACAGGAACCTAAAAAACAAAACAAACAAGCAAAATATAACCAAAGACACTGAAATTGAGAACAGGCTGACAGTGACCAGAGGGGGAAGGGGAAGGAATTTCAGGGGAAAAGGGGAAGGGTTTTCGGGAACAAGTATAAAGGACACATGGGCAAAAACTAGGGGAGGGGTGTGGAAATGGGAGGAGGTGGGGAGCACTTGGGGGGGGTGGGCTGGGATGGCAGTAAAAGACAGAAAACTGTACTTGAACAATTTAAAATAAGATAAAATACAGATTCAACAGATGTAAACTCATTCTCAGTTTCTGCACGTAACTTGTCAAGAACCAGTGCAGACCGTTGATGGACTGGCACTGCTCCTCAGACCACAGAGCCCTGGGGAGGCACCCGAACTGCCCAGGCTGAATCCTACCTGATGGTTTCTTCAATATGTGAGTGCTTTTCCTATGTCATGTGGTTCTCATTTCAGACCACCAAGTCCTCTGTTCTCTCTCCATCCTGACACAGATGCAGATCTCTATGGTGCTGTCATCACCGCAAACCTCTGCAGTCCTTGCTTCTCCCTGAGTCATACCCTATCCATACACAGCGAGGGGCCTTGAGTGTCTGTCATGCCTAGGGAGGAGACTTTGGAGCCATGGGTCATGCTGAGAGTGATGTTGCCTTTGACACAACCAGGACCACTTCCCAGTCAGCTCCAGACATTGTTGGGAGAGGGGGTCAGGTTCAAGATGGTTCTTTTGCCCCTTAAACTTGGGGAATGTAGCTATTTCTCTAGCAGGGCCACCTGTAGAGGACATGTGCATTTCTGCAACTAAGACTAATACTCTCACCTGGCCTTACTGTTGGGGGTTGGTGCTGGAACCTGGAGCTGAATTGTTTCAGTTCTCTCTGCTGGACAAGTCA